AGGGATTATGTGTATCTGTGTGTGTGTGTTCTGTAGGCAGGGCACTGATACAATTCAGTGGTTGTTAACCTGGGGAGCAGAAACTTTTCTGATAATCTGATGAGGACTCTATTCTTCAAAATAATGTACATAATATGCAAATTTTGCAGATTTTAGAACTACCACCGTCTTCCTAAAACCAATGTTAAGAACCTCTGATACAGTGATAGACTTTTACAACTACCATAAAAGGAACAAATAAGCAGGTGAAAAGTCCAGCCATAAGAACTGGGAAGCCTAAGACTGACTCTTGATTTTGCCCCTAAATTTCTGTGTGATTCTAAATAAATCACCCAACGTTGCGAAGCCTCAGTTTTTCTATAAAGTGATAATTTTATCTGCCTATAGGGCAGTGTGGGTAATATTTTTACAATTTTGTTTTTTAAAAAAAAGTCAATGGAGAGTAAATGAATATATGTGAAAATACCCTGAAAAGTTACAATTTAGTATTAAGAGATATTCAGAATTAATCTAAGAGGAAATATACAATTTCTTGGGTAACTGACGGGCTTATCTAGCTTTCACTGTTACGTAATCTGCCGACCAGCGCATATAAGGAAGTTAGCAACTCTTGAGCTAACTCAGAGCTAACAGAACCGGAGATGTAGAGGATTTTTCCTGCAGTATGATGACCAACTTACAGTATTCATTTGTGATGCTTTCTGTCAAACTGCTACTAAATCCATTCTTTTTTTGAAGTATAGCTGTTTTACAATGTTGTGTTAATTTCTGATATACAGCAAATGATTCAGTTACAAATATATATTTACATATATATTCCTTTTCATTACAGGCTATTATAAGGTATTGAATATAGTTCTCTGTGCTGTATGGTAGGACCTTGCTGTTTTATCTATTTTACATATAGTAGTTAGTATCTGCAGTAAATCTACTCTTGTACCTTGAAAAAACTCAGCATGTGAAAATGCACAGTAATAGTTTCAGAGGAAATGAAACCTACAAACCAAAATTTGGTCTTTTTCACAGGAGTCCTGAAGTATTTGTCTCTTTCCCCTCCATGTCCTACCTGATGTGAGGCCCTGGGGATTCCCACTGTCGTGTTCCCTATTAGAGGATCCCCACCTAGTAAGGCAACCTTCTTACTTCCCAAGGAAACACTGTCTCAGAAGTACCTTCAGAAGATACTAAAATATAAAAATCTAGGATTAAAAACAAAGCTTGCTTTTCACAGCCAGTGCTACAGAGTTAAGGCCATTTACCCTGACTATGGTAAGATGCTCACCAGGTAAGATGCTCACCAGAGGTGCAAACTTTATATGCAAAGAGGAAGCAGGGCTTAGGCACCAGCCAAAGCCTTCATGTTCCTGGGTGTCATTCCCTATTCATTTCATTGTCTTAGTCTTAATGCAAAGAAATAAAAACGTGCATGGAGGATCCAAGCCTGATACTGAATTTTGATTGCTATTTTCTACTCCTCAGAAAAATATATTAAACAAAATGCAGAGTCATGTAGTTCACGCTACTGTCTGTTCATAAAGGAAATGCTTTATATGCAGAAATTTCAAGTGAGAGGAGATGTCAGGTCTCCAAAAGCAGCCATTATCAAACAAAGCAACCAGAAAATGAATGCACTGGAGATGGCTGCGACCACAGTCCTGGCTATCGGCCAGCATCTTTGTCTCTCTTGGTAGCAGAGTGTTTTTGAACTGTTCATCGTATCCACAAAGCCTATCTAAGTGTTATACTTCTTTGACGTCAAATTCCTCCCCCTCTTTTATAGAGTATTGCTTTAACTGTCTCGTTACTCTTTCCATAAACCATTGCTGACCCCCTACTATAAGTGAGGCACCGAAAAGAATGGTGTATGAGACTGCTCAGGATATTTGCATTATGTGTAAAGAAGCATGGGCCATTTAAAGAGCTAATCAGTTTGATTCTGCCCCTCCAAATCAAGGTCCCCCTTGTAAATGGCCTGTGTCCTCTTGCCACATCCACTTTAAAGGGACCCTTCATCCCAGGCAGCTAATGGGGGTATCTCAGTAAAGTGGCTTTAACATCCCTTTCCCTCCCTGACCACAGACGTTGAACCATTTTGGAGGGTGGATGGGTGTGTGTGTGTGTGTGTGTGTGTTTTCTCCTCAAACAAGGGCACGCATCTGAATTCCAAGTGACTGAAGAATTTCGTGTTTTAGGTAATCCTGTATTTTGGCTACTTTAGAATTGCCACTGATATAAATTACCAGGTCACAAACTAGTAGGGCAAAAGGCTCTCAAGGTGGTGACTTCCTTTGTATTAATCAAGAAAATACACACCCAAGAATTTAATAACAAAATCATGCACTTTTTTTGGACAGTTGATACTTTGTTTACGTGTATCATGACTAATCGTAATGGCTGTAATTCATCACATTAGAAAAGCAATCAACAGTTCTAGCTGTATAAAATTAAAATTGATTGAGACCCTTTGTTACCCTGGCAGAAGATAATAATTACATCATTATTTATGAACTATAGAGCTGATAGCCAAAAGTCTTTTTAACTTCTTCTGATTTAAGTATATCTATTATATATTAAACTCCAGCACATACAATCAAAGTAAAATAGAACAAAATTAGAGCAAAATCAAATTACTGTATTTAATCTGAATAATTCTGCAAAGAAAGCTACTCTTATGTTTACCTACCACTGGCAGAACATCTACTCTGCACTAGGCACTGTCCTAGGTACTCTGCAAACCTGATTCATTTTATCCTCACCACATGCATGGAGGCATGTTGGTTGCATCTGTTCTAATTAGTGGGCAACTACACTAACAAAAGTCATGTAGCTTAGCACAGGAAACATCTTTCAAAGATAGTATGTTCAAACAATTAAACAAGCAAAACACTCTTCTTAGAAACCACATCTTAACTTTTACAATCAATAGTTTTTTGAAGGATAAGCAAAGCTGGTGTGTGTCCAGAGTCTCAGAAGAGGTTCCTCTTGGAGTCACACTTCTTCAATCTTTCTTGGCCCACAGAATGTTCCGAGAAACGGGCAAGGGACAGAGAGAAATGAAGGAAATGAAGAGTCATTAAACACACTGAGTGTCCTTAAGAACAGCTCTGATGTCATTTATCTCTACCTTCCAAGAATCCTGGGATGGCCTTGCATAGACAAGTGACAAATATTGTCAGCTAAGTCTGTGAAGATAATGGCAAATGTCACTGAGGAAGATTTGTGTTAAGCATTACATTAACTCAAGCTAATGCTCCCTCCTTGCAAGGATGGCTGTAGAGAGGTGCATGAGGCTAGGACAGTCTGACCCATTGTTGGATGGAGCTGGACTCCGTTCTGAGTATGCAGACAGATCCCCAAAGGAAGTTTTTCCATGGATGGCAAGAATCAAGCAAGCAGTAGCTCCCATCTCTGGAACAAACCTGTGTTCTTGGATGGATTGTGACCACTAGACTCTGAAGGGTGATCAGAAGCAAGGACACTCCTGTTACACAGTTCTGAAGGAGCTGAAAACATGGGCAGGAGTTGGAAAGGAACTTTTTTGCTGACCTTCTTCCTGGGTGCCCTGTGGTATTTACCATTTCACAAAGGAAGCAAACTTAAGTTATACAGAGTATACACCTGATTTATGTTTTCTCTTCTTTCCCCATCATCCTGATTCTTCCTTTATGGCAATCAAATGATTAACCTCAGCCTGATCAGTCCCAGGCTAGTAGAGGAAGACATCCCCACTTCTCCCAAACTGCACAACGCTGGCGGTGGACAGCTGGTCCTGTCATCATGGGGGAGAAATTAACATGATTGAGGCCAGCTGCTGCCTTTATTCACTCTACTCCCTCCTCTGCCTAAGCCCTATGCCCTAGAGAGCTTTACAGGTTCCCCAAATTTGAGTGACAAAACAACTGACCATGAGCTCGTGTTTCCATGTATTCGGCTCACTATCTACCGAAACGTTTTACTTGTCAATAAGAAGAGTCTGCAGCTGCTTATTTTCCTGTAATCCACCCTTATGAATGCTCTACCATTAAAAATAAATAATGACCTTTATGGGACCACTGGACATGTGAACACCAACTCTATATTTAATATTAAAGAACATACATTTCTGTATAGGAGTGGGAATGGTACTGTGATAATATTAGTTTTTTAAGAGTGCATACCTTGTACATATACACAATAAAATACTTAGATTGAATGATATGATGTCTGGGATTTGTTTCAAAACAAACATGGGAGGGTTACAGCAGGTGGGGGGTATGGGTGAACCAAGCTTGGCAGTGAGTTGATCATTGTTGAAGCTGGGTGATAGGTTCATTGCACTGGGTTGTTTTGTTTTGTTTTGTGTTCCTTGTATTTGTTAGAATTTTTCCATAATAAAAAGCTTTTCAAAACAGAATCAAAATTGGTTAAACATACTTTAAACTCACATTAGAAAAATCATATTTTTCAAAAATACTTTAAAATGTGTGCAATTTTATGATTTCATGTTAAATGGATTAAGAAGATTGAAATTGCACATAAAATACTGCATGTACATATATATTTGCATACGCATGTAAATGGGAGAAAAACTACACAAAATGTAAATTATGGTTGTCTCTGGCTGGCAAAAATATGTGTTATTTTTCTTTACTCATTGTTACTTTTTGCACTTTCCAAATGTTCTAGAAAGAAAATACATTACTTTTTAATTTTATGAAGCAATTTTTATAAATCATGCTCTTGGTATGTTAGGTGAAAAGAAGAGTTACAGAAATGGACATGAAATAGAATCTGAATTTCTTAAATGTGTGTGTGTATGTGTGTTTACCTAAAATAAACATCATCAAATTGTGAATGATGATTATCTCTGGGTGGTGGCATCATTGGTCATTTTTATTTTTGTTTCTTTGTATGTTTCTTCTTCAATTAATAAGTATAATGTTACATCAGAAAAAACAGCATGAAAAAAATTAAAGCTAGATGTATTTATAAGTAAAGGACTGTCTGTGTAGGACAATATAAATATAAGGAACTATATAAATATATCCTTATAAAATGGATAAGTAAGTCCAAGGGAATTTTAATTCTCTTTGAAAGTATATGTTAAGCTTTTAAGCAATGCTGATATAAAATCCTTTGAACAGCCACTGTTATGGGTGATGATCTTGCCCTCATCTACACAACTCCTTAATGTTTCACTTTCTGTCCATCTCCAGGTATATCCATGCCAATACCAGTTTTTGGGCTCCAGGATGATTCCAAGGTCTTTAAGGAAGGGAGCTGCTTACTCGCTGATGATAACTTTGTCCTGATCGGCTCTTTTGTATCATTTTTTATTCCCTTAACCATCATGGTGATCACCTACTTTCTAACCATCAAGTCACTCCAGAAAGAAGCTACTTTGTGTGTGAGTGATCCTGGAACGCGGGCCAAATTAGCTTCTTTCAGCTTTCTCCCTCAGAGCTCCCTGTCTTCAGAAAAGCTCTTCCAGCGGTCCATCCACAGGGAGCCAGGCTCCTACGGCCGGAGGACAATGCAGTCCATCAGCAACGAGCAGAAGGCCTGCAAGGTGCTGGGCATCGTCTTCTTTCTGTTTGTGGTGATGTGGTGCCCCTTCTTCATCACCAACATAATGGCCGTCATCTGCAAAGAGTCCTGCAACGAGGATGTCATCGGAGCCCTGCTCAATGTGTTCGTCTGGATCGGTTACCTCTCCTCAGCCGTCAACCCGCTGGTGTACACACTGTTCAACAAGACCTATAGGTCGGCCTTTTCAAGGTACATTCAGTGTCAGTACAAGGAAAATAAAAAACCACTGCAGTTAATTTTAGTGAACACTATACCAGCCTTGGCCTACAAGTCCAGTCAGCTACAAATGGGACAAAAGAAGAATTCAAAGAAAGATGACAAGACGACAGCTAACGACTGCACTATGGTTGCTCTAGGAAAACAGCATTCAGAAGGCACTCCTACAGACAATATCAACACAGTGAATGAAAAGGTTAGCTGTGTGTGATGGACTGGCTGCCATGGCAACCATGGAGTGCACACTGAGCGAGTTTTCACCTATCTGGGAGGGAAAAGCAAAAAGCAAAAAGAAAAAACATAGGAAGGCTGGAAAAAACTAGGCCAGTCTAGTGGAATCAACAATGATATCTATATGCCTCATTTTATTTTGTCAATGAAAAGCAGGGTTCACAAAACGTGCACTTCAAATATTCTGACAGCATTTCAGCTGTGAGCTTTATGATATTATTTTTAACATTGTAAATGACATGTCTTTAATTAGCTTTTATTGTATAATTATAATGAGGCCATAAATAAATCTAAATTAACTTCTATTTTCAAGTGGAAACCTTGCTATTTACTATGTTGTTAATTGATGGCATGAGTTGGTCACTTACTGCTGTAAATAAAAATAGCTCTAAATAGTGAAACATCTGTTGACTATAATGGCCTCCTAAATAAAGATAAATTCTCTTTAAGACTTACCATGATACATATTTTGAACAACAACAAAAAGACACCAAGGACAGTGTTACAAAATCTGTATTATTAAGATACTTAAATGAGATACTTGACAACTTTTTCATTCCCGCTTTTTCACAGATGCCATTTTGAAATATTTACAAAGTTGCTGGCATTTGCTGCACTTCAAGTTAATTCTTCTCAGAAGTGAAAGATTTTAAATGTTATTTAATAACTTCTGCTGCTTTATTCTGAATTTCCAGCGTGGTCTTGTTTAGTGTTTGCTCTACTAGGTAAACTATCAAACGGATAATCAAAAATTACCAAATACATTTCTAGAAACTGCTTCTCCTAAACAGCACCGTAGAAATGTTTGGTAACTTGCTCTTTAATGACTGCATTGTGCATGTGTTCCTCCGAGCAGTAGGCAGTATTGATGTAACTGTGTCAGGACTGAGGAAATGAACTCAGGTTTTTGGCTACTGACAGCAGGAGAGTCTTAGGACATCTCTGTAAAACGCAGGTGACCCTGCTGTTGGCACTGAGCAGATAAACTGAGGCTTTCAAATTAATCTATATTATTTACTAAAACTGTTCAGCTTTGGACTCACAATTGTCTACTGAATGGACACACTCTGTGAAGAAATCTCCTGGGTACTAAGGATATAAAAATAATTAAAGCAAGATCTTTGCCTTTAAAGAAAATGACCTAACTGGAATGGTTCTTATCAAAAACAGTCATTAACAGACTTATTCGGAGAATCAGTTCAGCTTATTTCCTTCTCACCTGCTTCAGAAACAGGTTTGTTTCAATTCTGAGGATTTCTCAGTTAGGTTTCCTGACTAGCTGCCAATGAATACCAATCAACCAAAGGGAGGGGGAAATACCACTCAAGGTTAAAGCTTGGAATTAGTTTAGAAATACGCACTTCAACCTGGACTCCAACTATGACTACCAGAGTTTCAAGCAAAATTTTTGTTCCATTCTCCTAAAAATGAATTAACTAATTACATGCTGATGCTGGATTTTCCCCTCCAAAAAAAAGGCAGTAATACGGTATTTTGTAGAAAAGTTTGTTAAAGAAAGACAGAGAGTAATAGCAGTTGATTCACCTGGCTATTATTTTAGGTTGAATTGCACATTCTTATTGGAGTAGATGTTCGAAATGTGCGTTCAATACTGAAGCATTTCTATTGAATGAGAAATCATTTTTTGCTCTATGCCATTTGAAAAAAAAATTATATATTTGAAAACTAAACAATGTGGGAGGTACCCTTGGGTATTTGGAAATGCATTAGGGCTATCCTAATTATGTGCTTCTAGCTACATTGGAAGGTATTTTTTTTCAAAGCTAGAATTTACATTAAGCCACTAGTATCTGGGCTGCATTCGAGCTGAACTATTTTCATGATTATACCACATGAACTGATAAAAATACAAATGTTAAAAAGTCTGTGCTCAACTGTATTTTGCCTTAGTTTATAACTCTGCACATCTCATTATATATTAGAGAAGAGACTACAGATTCTACACCCATATACTCAGTCTTGATCAGAAAGAACATAAATACTGCCTGGTATGTCTTCTGACTACATATATATTACAGATGTGTATGCTTTTTCTCTCCATGACTATCTATTCAAGTGTATATAGACAAACATGTATCTGTATACTTGTTCAGACATGTTCCCATGCACTTTATTCAATATTTATATATTTATATGGAGGAAAAGCAAGAGTCATGAATGAAAACACTCAGTATATACACATGTGTGCATGTTTGTTTCATGTCAATTTAAATGTGAATTTCATGTTCTAATGTTTCTATGACCTTCCATTGCTGTCAAAGCAGATTAAAATGTGCCAGAAGTATCAGGTCTTTAAATAAACTGGAAGTTGACCTAATTTTGTGGGGAGACTCTAACAGAATTCTATGAGGGTGGTGAAAGCAATGATCCTTATACATATTTGACAGACTCTAAGTAAAATGGTACCTTTGGGCCCTTTGTTTAGTCTGGGGATTTTGTGACTGTGAAGGCTTTTTAAACATACCCCTCACCCCAGTGAAACAGACCTTGACTTATTTATGGATCTGTGATTAAAGGACTCACTCCCAGTCAATATTATTAAAATAGAGTGACCAACCTTATTCTACCTTAAGTTGAACGGTAGATTCTTCTACATTTAAAGAAAAGAATTAAGTGCCAAAATTAGGGAAAATTCTCAGTTTAAAGCATACTTAATCTACTTGGGCACAGCACCATCTCATGGTCATTTTTTGAAGTGCTACTGTAGCCAAACTGAACTAATTCTACTATTGCTTTTGGCAAAGGGTGCTTCTTCCATTTCTGCATCAATGAAACATATTTATAAAATGTCAAATTATTCTGTGCCACATGTAACAAACACAGTGAAGATTATTTTATGTAACTATTTTAGTCAAGGCTATTCTAAAAGATTTCAAGAAAGAATGAATAATTGTAAATAAAGAATACTCAAAAATAAATGCAATTTTGTGAGTCTATAGCTGTGTCTGCTAAAGAGAGTTGCCTGAAACTTTCCAGGTCATCAGGCTGAAACTCAGGTATCACCCAGGTATTTTGAGAGGATAGAGCTGTGCTTCTGGAGCTGTCACAAAGCTAGGATCCACCTGGCTGGATCAGATTTATGGCCATGATCCAGCTTCTAGCTAGCTGTAGCAAACAAATGCTCCACATTTGAGGACTGTGTCTGGTTCCACCTGTGGGGACACCTGTACAGGTATACCCCAAGACAAGCACAGGTGCATTTACACACAATAAACCAAGGAGACACTATATTATTGAATAAACTGGAAAGTTGCCCTGATTCATTATTTCACCTATAAATGTAGGAAAAGGGAAACAGGGAGAGTAGGAATCTTTTCCAGGTGTTCACGGAAAATGTATCGAATGCCTATCACGGTTCAGGCATTAAGCTGGTTGTTTTGCTTGCTCTACCTGATGGGATCCTCACAACAGCCTACAAGGTAGGTATTACTGTTCCCTCTTTTTCATAGATGAAGAAACTGAGATTCAGAGCAGTTAGTAACATGCCTGAGGTCACACAGCTGGCAAGAAAAGTGGCGAGTGCAAGCCTGGGTCACCTGACTCTGAAGCATAAACTTTTTCCCCTCCTCAGTTTGGTACAGGAGAAAGAGCATTGGGCTCAGAACCAAAAGATGCAAGTTCCCATCTTAGCTTCCCTGTGCACTGTTTAGATGAGCTTGGACAAGTCACTTAATAACTGTGCTTCAATTTCATTGTCTCTCACGTGGAACTACTAGTACCTGGCTAACTGACAACATTGCTTAAGTGAGATCATGGCTATGGCTCTGCTTGATAACCTGTAAAACACGATGACAGTGTTTATAAATGTGTTATTAAAAAGAAAAAAGTTAAGCCTCTGCATATTATTAGCAATCAGAGCAAATTCTAGACAAAAGGGTCAGAAAGGCAATATTATTATTCAGCAGCTTCTACCATTCTTTCTTCTCATTTTTTTTTTACATCTTTTTGCTTCTGCTTTTTCCTCACTGTACTGCAGAGTTCCCATTGTTGGTCCCCCCCTTTTTTTTTCCTGCTTTTGTCAAAACTTACTTTATGTCGCATTCCATCAGGTTTCTCCTTTCTGCTAGAGCACTAATAAATAATTCAAGCTGACAGCCCACTGTCTATCACTGAGATCCATTTAGCCATTCACCAAAAGATAATCCAAAAGGCGGAAACCAAAGGCAAAAATTTTAGGCACCAGGGAGACAAGTGATAAGGAAATCTGAGGGCAAGAAACATTTTCCTGGTATCTCTCAAGTGATCCACAGAAAAACAAGTAGCTTCAGACAGTTTATAAAGTTTTATGACTTAACACTGAATTTTAACCTACAATAATAATGATGATTTTGAAAACATCAGACTTTAAAGATTTCATTCTAAACTGAGAACATTAATAATATTTCTAAGCTTTTCCTCAAGTTTTATAGTCAATGAATATCTGCTCCAGTAAATATGCAGTATGACAAAACTTCTTGGTTAATTTTTGATTATTTTTATAGGTGGCTTGCAAAAACAAATGGCTTCCTTATTTTCTCTCAATGGTATTCACA